ATGGATGTGTTGAAGATTTTTGTTAGCAGCAGACAGCATCTCTGCTCCCTCTCTAAGGACCCATGGAGAGATGTCTGGTCCCACCACCTTTGAGGAATCAAGTTCACATAGCAGTTTCTTCACCTCCTCCTCAGTTGTGTGTAGTATTTCTTCCAGCACTTGTTGGTGTACCTCTCTATTCTAAATTCCTGGGGTCTTTCCTGTCTCCACTGTAAATACTTCTTTAAATCTCATGTTGAACTCCTCGCATACCTCTTGGTCGTTTCTTGTGAATTCCCCGCCTTTTTTCCTCAGCCTTATTACCTAGTCCTTGACTGTTGTTTTCCTCCTGATGTGGCTATACAGCAGCTATGTCATTTTCGTATTGTAACTACGCATATTCATTTCTGGCTCTTCGGCTAATCTCTTTATTTTCCTGGGTGCTTTGTCTTCTGTACCTTTTCCATTCTCTAGTGCACTTAGTTTTAGCCTTCCTACACCTTTGGGTGAACCAAGGACTCATTCTGGTCTTCCCATTATTTCTGTTTCCCTTGGGAATAAACTTCTCCTCTGCCTCCTTGCATTTTGTTGTCACATAGTCCATCATTTCTTTTGCTGGTTTTCCTGCCAATTCTCTCTCCCACTGAACGTCTTGCAGGAAGTTCCTCATGCCTGTGTATTCCCCCCTTTGTAGTTTGGTTTTCCCCATCCTATTCCTGCTACCCTCTCCACTTGTAGCTCAACTATGTAATCAAAGCACAGAACCACATGATCACTAGCTCCACGGGGCGTTTCGTATGTGTATCCTCAATGTCCGAACTACTCAAGGTGAATACTAGGTCCAGTCTTGCTGGGTCATCCTCACTTCTCTCTCTGGTAGTGTCTCTTAACATGTTGATACACAAGGTTTTCCAGTACCACATCCATCATCATGGCTCTCCATGTTTTGGGACCCCCATGGGACTCCAGGTTTTCCCAATCTCCTTGTGATTGAATCACCCATAACTAGTAATTTTACTCTCCCCATGTGAGCTCTTCTGGCCACTTCAGCTAGTGTGTTTGCCATTGCTCTGTTGCTCTCGTTGTAGTCTTCTTTTGGCCTCCTGCAGTTATGTGGCGGGTTGTGCATTACTGCAATTACCACGTTATGGCCCTCAGACTGGATTGTTCTTACTATGTAGTCCCTTTCACCCATTCCATCCATTCCTTCCATTTCCTTAAATCCCCACCAGTTTTAAATGAGCAGTGCAACTTCTCCCCCTTTGCTCCCTCTATCTTTCCTCAGGATTTGATAACCAGGTGAAAAGATTGCATCTGTTACCATCCTTGTGAGTTTCGTTTCTCAGAGTGCTATTATGTCTGGGGATGTCTCCTTGATTCTTTAAGCCACTCCTCACATTTATTTGTTATTCCATCTGCAGTTGTATACCAGACCTTCAATTTTTTTTTCCAAAACTGTTGATGAAGCAGGAGACCTGATGAGGAACTATGGGTTGTTGCTGTGGAGGTGGAGTTTGTAATGAGGTGGGTGGGGGCATTGTGCATGGCATGTGTGTTTTAAGTTAGAATGTTTGGTTGTATTGGGGTTGGCTTGGTTGGGGGTTTCTGTAGGTGGTTGAAAGGGAAGTTGTATTTGATCTTCCTCCTGAGTCTGAGTTCTCCTGTCCATCTCCATCTTCACCTCTCTTCCCTTCTTTTGTCTTTGTACCCTCTCTTTCAGTTCCTGCCTTTCTTCTCGTGTTCTGTTGAGGTTGAGATACACCCTCCGGTACGCCGAGATGTCCCATAGTCATGCTTTTCCTGCAAGATCCTGTTTTGAGCCGCTTCTGCCTTGGAAATCACTTTGACCGGCCGGTGTCTTCCTTTTGCATATCCCCTTATTCTCAGAAAATTTGTCCGCTGGGTCATGTCATCTCCTATTGCTTTCATGATGCTTTCAATCGCTTTTTTCTCCCCTTGTCTTCTTGCTTCGTAAGTTTCCCCTTCAACTTCCTGGAGCCCATAAACAAAGACTGATCTCTACCTTTCATTCTCCCACTGCATATCCCTATGTATCCCCTCATTCAATTTAGTTGTCTCCATTGCCGCTTTCCTTTCTTTAATCTCTTCACTATCTGTTGTCCCTGGGCCCAGTGGTCTGTCATTTTCCCTTCTCAGCTTTCCCTGGGCACTGCTGTGGTCTGTTAGGGCCTCTCCATATACCTTAGCTCTTTTATTTTCTACAGTCCCTTCATTTGTTCCTGATGTGATCCTCTTTTTTTCTCGGGCTCCACGATAGTCTGATAGGGCCTCTGCATAGAGTATCGCTTCTTTGTTCCCTACAATCCCCTTGTTTGTGACTGAGGTAGCAGTTTCTGATGTCATTCCCACATTGCTCTTTAGTTCTTTAGGCAGTTTCAGATTTTTCAATTCCTCTGCTAATCTCTGAATCTTAGCCTCTGCTGCTGTGACTTGCATCTCCCATTTCCTGCTCTCAGCAGCTATCCTCTCCTCCATTTTCATGCTAAGCTCTCCTAGCCTCCTTCCCCACTCATGTTCCCTTTTCATGAGCTCTGCTCCCCAATCTTCCTTCCCAGACTCATCCTCCAGTCCCCTGTTTTTCTGTCCTGCTCTCTGGCAACCTATTTTTTTTTTATTACCACAGAATGATAAACTTATGTATTTCTGTGTGGGTGTTTGTGATGTGTTTGAGTGTGAGTGTGAGGGGGAGTGGAAAGAGGGAGAGGAGGAAGCTGTAGACAGTGGTGAAATGGGAGAGAGGTGGGGAGGGGGAAAGAGGGGGGAATATGGGAAGTGAGAGGAGGAGGGAGAAGCAAAGGGGAGAGAGAATGGGAGAGGGAGAGAGAATGTGTGAGGGAGAGGGGGGAGAAGTAGGAGGGTGAGAGAGAGAGAGGGGGGATTAGGGGAGTGAGTGGGAGAGGGAGAGAGGTGGGGGGAGAGTGAGTGTGTGTGTGTGGAGGGGTCTGTATATGTGGGAATGTATGAATGTGTGTGTATGAAACTATATGAGTCTGGGTTTATTGTGTAAAAAGTAGTGGATGGGATTGTGTGTTATGGTGTATGAGTGTGTATGTGGAGTCTGCATGTGACACTTAGTGTACAGTGCTTTACCTGACCTGACCCACACCCACCTAATAGCTTGTGTCTTTATGCTTCACCTGTCTGCTCGTCCTTTTCTACTGTAAATTATCAATTGCTATTCATTATTGAGTACTCGATATCCTGTTCTTTATTGTACTAGAAGAGTTGGACCGTTCGCAAACAGCTTGGCAGTAAATTGGAGCTTGACACCCGACTCCCCAAAAACCACACATAGGTGAGATACTTGCGATGCAGCTTGTAGATTGTCCAACTCGATGCTATGTCCTGGCATATATCCACTTCTGTTTCTTGTTGATTTATAACCTATTCACTGTATTTCTTTCACTGATCACACATTTATTTCACTTTATTATCTTTCTTGGGTGACACGTGGCAACGTCGCCTGCAGCACACTAGGCCTGTCCACTCTGACTTGCGTCACTAAATATCACTTTCTAGTTCACTTATAAAATTGTGGCTCTCCCCACACATGTGGCTCAGGCAGCTTGTAAATCTCTTCAAGGATTGTTCACTACCCTGACACACTTAATGATCCCTGCAGTTCCCTTGGGTAGCCCTCAAAAACACTTATATTCATGGAGCACTTAAGTTGTGACTCGCGCACGTGGTGTCCCTACTGTGTGTGTGTGTGTGTGTGTGTGTGTGTGTGTGTGTGTGTGTGTGTGTGTGTGTGTGTGTGTGTGTGTGTGTGTGTGTGTGTGTGTGTGTGTGTGTGTGTGTGGTTTGTGTACTCACATAATTGTACTCGCCTAATTGTGGTTGCAGGGGTTGAGACTCGGCTCCTGGCCCCGCCTCTTCACTGAATGCTACTAGGTCCTCTCTCTCCCTGCTCCCTGAGCTTTATCATACCTCATCTTAAAGCTATGTATGGTTCCTGCCTCCACTACATCACTTGCCAGACTGTTCCACTTCCTGACCACTCTATGGCTGAAGAAATACTTCCTTACATCCCTGTGACTCATCTGAGTCTTCACCTTCCAAGGGTGACCCCTTGTTTCTGTGTCCCCTCTCTGGAACATCTCATCTCTGTCCACCTTGTCTAGTCCACGCAGTATTTTGTATGTCGTTATCATCTCCCCCCTAACCCTCCTGTCCTCCAGTGTCGTTAGGCCAATTTCCCTTGACCTTTCTTCATAGGATATTCCCCTTAGCTCTGGAACTAACCTTGTCACAAACCTTTGCACTCTCTCTAATTTCTTAACGTGCTTGACCCCGTGCGGGTTCCAAACTGGTGCTGCATACTCCAGTTTGGGTCTGACGTACCCAGTGTACAGTTTTTTTTTTTTTTTTTTTTTTTTTTTTTTTGTGTCTGTTTGTCTGTCTGTGTGCATACATGCTTGTGTGTGTGCTTATGTGGGTGTGTGACCCACATAATATTTGTACTTATAACTCATTACAGTTGTAACTGGGTGTGGACGGGTCAGTGGCTCATTATTTTTGTTATTTGTTCATGATTGTAACCATGTATAGGAGTGTAGATGGTTCATTACCTTTGTAACTTGCCATGGGTGTGACCAGATCTACCTGGAGTTCATTACCTTTGTAACTAGTTCAGCTATCATAACTTTGGGGTCCAGTCCCTGGACCCATTATGTACCTCTGTAATCTTTTGACTACCGCCCACAGGATGCGTTTGGGGTGCATAATAAAGACATTAAACTAACTGTTCATGAGACAGAAAGAAAGCTTATCAAACTGCCAAAGTGCCAAAAGTGCATAAAAAAAGGGTTTAACTTGCTTCTATTTTATTCTTATATAATACAGCATTGAATTTCCAGCAAATATCCCTGTCAACTTGATTATTTATTTATTTGATGTACTGTACTTGCTCTTTTGATGTATTGTACTTATTCTTTTGACATACTGTACTTATTCTTTTAACAATTTTGAAAATAAAACGTTGTTATAATCTTGGCAGTTTTTATGAACGTATTTCTGTTTTCAGGGGATACTGGGGAATCTGAACACCAGAGTACTGAAAGAACCAAGGGGTGCTATGAAGGTTTTGCAATTTGTAAGTACTCTATCTTACTAAAAAGTATATTAAGTATTCATTAGTTTATATCCATTTACCAAATGCTGTGTAACATCATGTTACGTGTGTACTTTTGTATATTTTTCATGCTCTGTCTCAGAAACTTGTTTTTAGGAAGTAGAATATGAGAATTTTTTTGCAAGTTCAATAATTTTCCTTACAGTACAGCAAACCCTCAAGTAAATGAACCTCAGTTTAGTGGACTTGTGTAAGTAAGAGACCAAATCTGCTCTGTCATTTGTTTCTGAAACGATGTTCACTCTGTTGGTTATTGCATTGTTGTTTATTACTACAATGACAACAAAACAGTCTCATCTTTATCCACCACAGTTGCCATGACCAGCCACCTGCTCTGTCTTAAATAGAAAGTTCACAGTTTTTGGAATTCTGTGATACCTGGAAAATGCAGTGTACTGTAGAATCCTGAATGATTTTTAAATTTTACAATTTACAATTTTTTTTTTCTGTGGGGTTCTTGAGGGACCCCAATCTGAATATTTTTTTCTATGTAATACTACTTCATTCTCTTAGCCCCAGTATGATCTGATGTGCACTATTGAGCCTAGTTCAGTGCTTTTCCCTCTGCCCATTGCTGCACAGTTGGTGTGGTTTGCAGGTGCCAGCTAGTACATGTGCACCCGTCCAACTCAAATTGCCAATTAATTTCTATTGTCAACACCTACCCACTTCACTCTGGTTTGTTGGAGTTATGTTGCTGGGGTCTCCCTGCCCACTACAGTATGTTCCAAGATAGCTCCTGCAGTTTTCCTGCCCACCTCAGTCAGTTCTCAGATACTAGTTACCACATTGTTTTTACCCACTCCAGTTTGTTTCGATTCTGTTCATTCACATGGTTCATCATTACATTTTGGTCCTTTTTTATTTTTCAGAATTGACCTGCCAGTAGTTCACTACTTTGACTACTATCTTCCTCTTCATTGCCTTGGGCTACCAAGTTTTGTGTTTCACATACTTTAACTGTTAGAATAAACTTGTGCCATTGTGACAGGTCCTAAAGTCACTCTTATCACCATATCATATACATCCTATAGTACCTCCCAGACAGCTCCATCTTCTGCCAGGTGAGGCTCTACTTACCCCTTTTAGCGACCTTGCTACATAACTTGTCAGGTTGGCCTCTTCATTAACCTGCCCTCTGTTCTCTCAGATGGTTGCTTTCTATTTGCATAGTATGGCATGTCACCTTCAAGGTCTATGCCCATGAGAGCAGGCATTCATTTTTCCTTTTGCACCCACAACAAAAAAGCTATTGCAATCTTAGTCCTTGTTCTATAGCCTTCAAGCCTCAGGGGCATGCAGCTTACTAATTAGGAAATGTTTCTGTAGAATACGGTGGAACCTCTGTATTCAAACGGCTCCCTACTCAAACAATTGGGTATTCGAACACTTTGTTCGGTAAAGAAATCGCTCAGTAGTTGACCATTTGCTCAGTACTCGACCAAACAAACACGACCTTCCAGAACTTCACTGTAAATTATTTCGTGTTTCTTCGCATTTTTTGGTGTTTTTTTATATTATTTGTATAAATAAGTCACCAAGAGGCCTAAGAAGATTGATAACAGCCAACAAAAAAGAAAATTGGTTGGGAAAAAAACAGATCGGTACTCGAACAGCCTTCTGGAATGAATCAAGTTTGAGCACTGAGGTTCCAGTGTATGTTATGCATACAGTGCCCCTGCTTCTAGGAATGTCATTCCCTAGCCTCTGTTTCACCCAAGCTGATTTCTCGAGGTCTCTTGGTTAGTGCTGTCATTAGTGATAGATTCTTCTCATTCAATCCAGTCCCAACAGTCATTTCACTCAGGCAGGGGCACCCATGGGCCTGGTCAGGGGCCTGGAAGGCAAGCATTATCTTCTTGAAATACCTGTTGCTGTCGCCACTGATGGGACACTCCTGTAATTACCTTCCCTTCCTACATGACCATTCTAAATTTCTCTGAGAGATTTTGTGCACCCTGATTGGCTAACTGCTGACTTGTTTGTGCTTATGGGATCCCATATGGTCAATGGATTGTTAAAGGCTGATCTCTGGTACTGTGTTGGGTTCCCACTCCTGGCTGTAGGTCGGTGCTATAAAAAATTGTAGGCAGAGTCCCCATTTTGTGCATGGTATGCCTTAGCACTGTAATAGTACACTTCTGGTATAAATAGAGCAACTTGGTTGTGGTGCCTGGTGGCAGATGCCCTTCATAATTGGATCAATCAGTGAGCTCGGTTATTGTGGAGCTGACCCTGGGGTTTGATTTCACTTGTGTGTTCATCTGTTGTCACTTGTTCCAAAACCTGTGTTTGCATGCATTTGTGGTATCTTCTTATCTGACAGGATGCCATTACTTGAAGGCTTTGCTGATGACCACATATGGATATCCTCTTCCATCTAATTTCTGGCAGGTTCTTCATGTATAGCCTCTCCTCTCTTAGTGACGTACTCATTTACTGACCGCTCGGGCTTACGACCAGCTCTCCAACCAGTATGCAAACCTAAGTATTGTAGATTAGAGCTGATTTCCTCTATTCTGTTATTACAGTACAGTGGACCCCTGGTTTACGATATTATTTCATTCCAGAAGTATGTTCAGGTGCCAGTACTGAAAGAATTTGTTCCCATAAGGAATATTGTGAATTAGATTAGTCCATTTCAGACCCCCAAACATACACGTACAAACGCACTTACATAAATACACTTACATAATTGGTTGCATTGGGAGGTTATCGTAAAGCGGGGGTAAACTGTATACTACTGTATAAATATTTAAAAATGTACTAAAAATGTTATAAATGGTGCAAAGGTGACATTAACCCTTAAACTGTCCAAACGAACATCTGGGTGTTTTCAACATTTGAAAGTATGTAAAAAAACGTAGATTTTTTTTTTTTTTTTTTACATTTGAAAATGTGTAAAAAAAAACTTTGATCTACATTTTTTTTGTTATACAATTTGAAAATATGTAAAAAAAAACATAGATCTACTTTTGAAGCACTACGCATGTGAACGTAAATTTGTTTGGACAGTTTAAGAGTTAAATAAAATCTAAAGATGGTTGACACAAAGCCACTACCAGTACAGTATGCTCCTCGCTTAAACAACATATTGCTTACCGACCCACTCTTAGGAACAGAACTCGGTTGTTAAGTGAGGAGAGGTTGTATTCAATGGGACTGCCTATCATTCTTCTCTGGTTAGTGTCTCAGGGATTCTGCCTTTGCTTGGCAGATCTAGAGCCTCTTTCCCCCTTCTTCTATCTTTTGGTACAGGTAGTATGATTACAGCCAGGCTACACATCAGGAAACTGCATTTTGACTGCAGAAAGACTCTTTCTGCATCAGGTTTCGTGGAAGGCCCACAGTTCCACCACCTTCCCAGGTTGTGATGTTCCACTGGACAGCAAGAGCTGGGCAGGCAGGCAAGCCCCGGCTGGTACCTGCACATCATGACAGTCCCAGTAGCAGTGGTCATAGGGAGGCAGAAGAGACTGACCAGGGCTCACTTGAGTGCGGGAGACCATACCAGGGCAGTAAATTGTAGATATACTATTAAGAAGTAGCTGTGGCATAGTCCAGCAGGGGCCCAGAGCACCCTTAATGTAGGATGGTGTAACTTCAGAAAATAATCTCTCCTTCTAGGGCAGTGCCTTGGTGCTGGTGAAAGGCTCCTAAGCAAAGGTATTGGAGGGCTACCTACCCTTTTCTCTGATTAAATCTCATTACCTTCTATTCTCCAGGTGCTTTATGACCCTTACTAGTTTAGTACTTTTCTTTGACAGGTAATGATATTAATTAATAACAGTGAATGAATTTCCATTTTTGGGTCAACTTGCCTTAGCAGGAGACAGCTGTTGAAGTAAAAAAAAAAAAAAGCTGTAATAATAATAAAAACAATGTGAGATTGTAGCATATACTTGGCTGTCTGTGTTTGTACAAAGGTAACACAAAGTAAAGTGCTTGTATGTGGAAGCTTGTGAAGGTACGATCACTGTAATTCAATTATTTTAAGAGAGTTCCTTAACTGATCTCACAATATTTTGCCAGTTTCAAAATACAATACATGGTATTGTCTGGCACATTTTGGTTATAGCACAACTGAAGAATTGCGGCATATTTTTGTTTAACACTTCGTAAAATTAATTTAACACGGTTGTGGGAGGGGAAAAAAATTTTGAGCGCGTGGTCGGTTACACCATTGAGTCAACGGGGAAGGCCAACCGCCATCCCCCACCACCCCTACCTCCCTCCCAGCCCGGTTCATACATGTTAGTTGTTGGATGATTCTGTTCTAGGATGGAGCTTGCTGTGTTTGTTTAGATACATACTATTTTCATTGCCATATCTTAAATCTGCCAAGCAATCATGGCACCCAGTAGGCATATACAAGTGTTGCTGAAAGTGGCAAGAAAAGGTTTAAGCATTTAAGTCTTAGAATTAACTAAGAAAATAGAGATATTAGATAAGAGATAACTTGTGGCCGTAATGAACGCATCACTTTGTACACAAAAAGAATGAGGTAAATATGAGTATGTGTGATGACTGACTGATTTAGTGACTGACTTACTGACTGACTGACTGTATTACTGACTGACTTATTGATTGATTTACTGACTGACTGTATTACTGAATAACTGACTGTATTAACCCTTAAACGGTCCAAACGTATATATACGTTCACTTGCGCAGCGCCCTGAATATTTAAAAAAAAAAAAAATAATTTTTTTTATATACAGTGGACCCTCAACCAGCGATATTAATCTGTTCCTGAGAGCTCATCGTTAATCGAAATAATCGTTAGTCAAGTTAATTTTCCCCATAAGAAATAATGGAAATAAAATTAATCCGTGCAAGACACCCCAAAGTATTGAAAAAAAAAATGTTACCACATGAAATATTAATTTTAATACACACAAACTGAAGAAGACATGCACAGTTACATGACACTTACCTTTATTGAAGATCTGGTGATGATT